CATATTTATATGGGAGCATGCTCATGTAGTGGAGATTCAAGTTTGTTCAAATCATGACCCCCGGGGGTAGGGCGGGGCCATAGAAATATATAGGAAAATTCTTTAAAAATCTTCTTCTCAAGAATAGCTGAGCCCTTATTGATGATACTTTTCGGGAATCATCCTCATGTAGTGTAGATTCAAGTTTGTTCAAATCATGAACCCCAGGGGTAGGGCAGGGCCAAAATGGTGACCAAAGTTTTACATAGAAATATATAGGAAAATTCTTTAAAAATCTTTTTCTCAAGAATGTCAAAGCCATAATTCATCATATTTATATGGAAGCATTCTCAGGTTGTGAAGATTCAAGTTTGTTCACCCCTGGGGGTAGGGCGGGGCCAAAATGGCCAACCAAAGTTTTACATAGAAATATATTGGAAAATTCTTTAAAATCTTCTTCTCAAGAATGACAAAGCCATTATTCATCATATTTATATGGAAGTATCCTCAGGTAGTGTCGATTCAATTTTTTTCAAATCATGACCCCCGGGGGTAAGGCGGGGCCAAAATGGCCAACCAAAGTTTTACATAGAAATATATAGGAAAATTCTTTAAAAATCTTCTTCTCAAGAATGACAAAGCCATATAGGAAAATTCTTTAAAAGTCTTCTTCTCAAGAATGACATAGCCATAATTCATCATATTTATATGGAAGCATGCTCAGGTAGTGTAGATTCAAGTTTGTTCAAATCATGACCCCCGGGGGTAGGGCGGAGCCAAAATGGCCGACCAAGGTTTTACATAGAGATATATAGGAAAATTCTTTAAAATCTTCTTCTCAAGAATGACAAAGCCATTATTCATCATATTTATATGGAAGCATGTTCAGGTAGTGTAGATTCAAGTTTGTTTAAATCATGACCCCCGGGGGTAGGGCGGGGCCAAAATGGCCGACCAAAGTTTTACATAGAAATATATAGGAAAATTCTTTAAAAATCTTCTTCTCAGTAATTTTCTAAAAAATAGCAAATCCATGATTGGTCATGGGACTACTTTTGGATTTAAACTTTACATTAAAAAACCATTTTATACTAGTCCTACCCTTGGTGCTCAGGTGAGCGATGTGGCCCATGGGTCTCTTGTTTTACTGAAATTATATTATTATTTTGATAGAATTTTAATGAAATTAAAAGAAAGCATTTAAGAAATAGTGAAAAAATATTCTGAGACCCGAAATCCATAAAATCAAAACGTGATGAAAAAATTTTTTAAAAAAATGATATTACTTTTATACTTGAAATTGATACGTTATGTGTATGCATCGTTATGTGTATGCATATGTAACCTCTGTTAAAATAATTTTTTTTACAGACATGGCAGTGGTCGGTAGGAGCTGTAGCAATCTTCCTCTGTTGGATTAACCTGGTTCTCTTCCTCCAGAAGTTCCCGCGATTGGAATCTACGTGGTCATGTTTAAGGACATCCTCAACACCTTCATGCAGTTCGCTCTTGTCTTCTTTCTGTTCATTGTTGCCTTTGGTTTAGGATTCTACTGTCTACTGCAAAGCCAGGTTAGATAACTCTCATTTTGTTTCAAATGCAAGATTGTTGTAAAACAACTTTTATTCATTTGCCATAAATATTCGCGAGTTTCACGACCTACTAGAAATACAAATATAAATCACCACAAACCATTTATTTTTCTTTGTATAGAATAATTCCTCATTTGCAAAAATTAATGTTCGCGGATTGATTTTAAACTGACAAATCGCAAATAAAAGCTGATGCAAATGAAAGTTGGTTTACAATATATTTTTAATTACTTTAAATTCTCAAATCAAGTTTTATAACTCTCATTAGCTCTTCTGAGCCAAAGGCTCAAAGAGCTAATGCTATGGCCATTTGTGCGGTGTGCGTTAACTTTTTAGAATATGGGCCATAACTCAAGAACCCCTTGGCCAATCAGTGTCAAATTTATAACAGGGTATCCTGGGCCCAAGGGCTACCATTTATACCAAAATAAGGGTTGGGACCCTAAAACAAGGGGAGATAATCAGGAAAACAAAACCAAAAGTACTGGTTGCTAAAAAATCTTCTTCTCCAGAACCACCAGGCAGATTTTCACCAAACTTACATACAAGGATCAGGATATGTTGAAGATTAAAAATTGTTCAAGGCATGACCCTGGGGCAAAGGGCGTGGTCTCAAGGTCACTTCAAAGTTGACCTAAATTTACAATTAATAAAAATGTGTATATTTTGCTTACTATGAGGACTAGGATCATCAAATCTTGTAAGTTGATGCATCTTACGACTTCACATCATGTTAACTCAAAAGTAGGTCACGGTGACCTACTTTTTAAATTTTGCGGGGATTTGTTTTCAAATTGATTTGAAGGCATATTTTGGACACTTTAAGGCCTATGATCATCAAACTTTGTCAGTTGATGTATCTTGGGTCTTCAAACACTGTCAACTTAAAAGTAGGTCACCGTGACCTACTCTTTGAACTATGTGACTTATCCTTTTAAAAACATTAAATCCCATTATTTCAGACACTGTGAGGTTTAGAAACATCAAATCTTGTACTTTGATGCATCTTAGGACTTTAAAACATATTTATGAAAAAGTAGGTCACTGTGACCTACTTTTTGAATTTTGCTGACATTTGTTTTCAAATTGTTTAAATCGCAAATTTTGATTACCTTCAGACCTACAATCATCAAACTTGGTCAGTAGATGCATCTTGGGTCTTTGAAAAATGTCGACCAAAATATAGGTCACGGTGACCTACTTTCGACATTTTATGGCTTTATTTAAGTATCTTAGATATTTATTGGCTTAGAATCATCAAACTTTGAGAGTTGATGCATATTTAGTTTTCGGAGAGTGACGACCAAAAAGTAGGTCACGGTGACCTACTTTTGACATTTTATGGCTTTATTTAAGTATCTAGAGTACTAATTGGCTTAGAATGATCAAACTTTGTGAGTTGATGCATCTTGGGTTTTCGGAGAGTGACGACCAAAAAGTAGGTCATGGTGACCTACTTTTGACCTTTTGTGACTAAAATTAAGTATCTCTGGTACTTATTGATCTAAAATGATCAAATTTTGTCAGTTGATGCATCTTGGGTCTTCAGAGATTGTCGACCAAAAATTAGGTCACAGTGACCTACTTTTGACATTTTATGGCTATATTTTAGTATCTCAGGCACTTATTGGCTAAGAATCATCAAACTTTGTCAGTTGAGGCATCTTGGGTTTTCGGAGAATGTCGACCAAAAAGTAGGTCACGGTGACCTACTTTTGAATATCTCAGGTATGTATTAGCTTAGAATCATCAAACTTGGTCAGTTGAGGCACCTTAGGTTTTCGGTGAATGTCGACTAAAAAGTAGGTCACTGTGACCTACTTTTGACATTTTATGGCTATATTTAATTATATCTGGTACTTATTGGCTCGGAATTATCAAACTTTGTCAGTTGAGGCATCTTAGGGTTTCATTGAATGTCCAACAAGAAGTAGGTCACGGTGACCTAATTTTGAATATCTCGGGTACTTACTGGCTTAGAATCTTCAAATTTTGCCAGTTTAGGCATTTTTGGTTTTTGAATAACGTCGACCGAAAAGTAGGTCACCGTGATCTACTTTTGACATTTGATGGCTATATTTAATTATCTCTGGTACTAATTGGCTTAGACTCGTCAAACTTTGTCAGATGATGCATCTTGGGTTTACAGAGAATGTTGACCAAAAAGTAAGTCATGGTGACCTACTTTTGAATATCTCAGGTACTTATTTAATTAGAATCATCAGTCTTTGTCAATTTATGTATCTTGAGTCCTCAGAAAATTTCAATCAAAAGGTAGGTCACTGTGACCTACTTATGGTATTTTATAATTATAATATCTTCAGTCTTAACTTGCTAAATATTATCAAACTTTGTAAGTTGATGCATTTTGGGTCTTATGATACTAATAGAGTTGGAGGCTTCTAATAGAAGTGATAGATTGTACAATTTATCAGAAGAGCGATTCAAGGCCCTTGGGCCTCTTGTTTCATTATAAACTCATTGCCAGGTTAAAAATTCTGAATCTGTCATAAAGACATTTTTATGTATGCAGACACATACTTTGTTGAGATAAGCTCAAACCACTGTATTCTTTTGAGAGTTCATATGTATGAAATAAAATAAGTTTTTGAATTCCTAAAGCAGCTGTTTCTATTAATAGGATGCCTTTGCGACGGTGTGGGAGTCGCTAATAAAGACGACTGTGATGATGATAGGAGAGTTTGAGTACGAGGAAATCTTCTACGGTGCTCAGCTGGACTACTACCCAGAAATCACCTACGTCATGTTCGTCGTCTTCATGATCATCATGTCCATCATCATCATGAACTTACTGGTATGTGTCTTTTGATTGGTTCATTCGTATGTCAAGTGTCTTTCGATCGGTTCATTCCTATGTAATGTGTCCTTTACAGTAATCGGTTCATAGGACTATGTCATGTGTCTTTTAATTGGTTCATTCTTATGTCATGTGTCTTTTCATTGGTTCAACTTCTGTCATCTTTATTTTCATTGGTTCATTTTTTTATGTCGTGTGTAATTTGAATGGTTCCATTTTATTTCATGTCTTATTTCATTAGTTTCATTTTATGTCACGTCATTTCATTGGTTCATTTCAGAATTCTCTGAGTCATGTGTCTTCTTTGATTCATTCTTCCTGTTGTTCAGTTACAATGTTCTTACTTTACATAACAAAAAATTATAGTAATAAAATAAAAGCCTTGTGGAATTCAGATTTGTCTGTGAGTTAACTTTGTAACTGTTTAGAGATTAACTGTACTTGCTGTACATGACTTCTGTTCCACACTAGGTTGGTTTGGCTGTAGACGACATTAAAGCTGTACAGGAGCAGGCCGCTCTCAAGAGAATGGCTATGCAGGTAGTCACCCAAAACATGAAAATATTCAATAAAATCTGACATAAAAGTTTTGGAAAATGCACTGAATAAGTTAATGAGTTTATCCCATGGTTGTTTGTTAAGACTCAGGGTTTCTTTCCAGGTTGATTTAGCTTTGGATGTTGAGAGAGTGGTACCAGAATTTATAAGGCGGCGATTTGTGGCAAAATGTGACACGTACAGACCCAACAGGAAGACGTTGAACCCCCTGAAGCTTCTGGCTCGAGCTGAAGCTGGAGATCTGTCATCACAGGCAATCTCTAAAGCCCTGGATCCAGATCTGGTAAGTATTCACAGAATCAGAGATATTAGGGGAATCTTTTATCACACTGATCTCTAAAGCCCTGGACACTGTGTACAATCCTTTTACATATTAAAACTATGCAAGAGCAAGATACAATTCCTTTACTTACTTTGTATTGTATACAATATTGTTAAAAATTGTTTGATTCATATGTCCATACCAAATGCATTTCTTGTGTATTAAATTATGTCCTGTTTTAAAACAATATTCACCTTGACCTTGACCTTTGTTTAGGATGAGATAGAGAAAGTCATGGAGACACAAGAGAAGCTACAGAAGGACATCTCAAAACTGAAGGGCGGGGTGAAGAACATCCGAGAACAGAACGCGCGTCTGGAGGGGATGCTGCGAGTCCTGCTGGAGCAGTCCGGTGTCACGGACTTCAATGAGGAGGACTTCCAGGACCGGGACTAAGGGGGGACCATCTCAAAGGGGGCAAAAACCTTACATAGGAGCTCTTAAGGGGGCATCTCCAAATCTATCTATTGTCCTAGTTTTTTTCTTATTGTACTTTAATGTTTGTGTTATTATTGTGATTCTAAAGCTATATCTAACTTTGATATTTACCACCCATAGGTGTCTAATCTATGGGAAACATAACTCTGTTGTAAGAGAGGCTATCCAGAGTTGCATTCCTTTCTCTTTGTGTCAGTGTAGCTTTACTCTTGCTTTATGAATCAGATTTGAGTTTTCAGGGAGGAGTGAAAACAATGCAATATTTGATACATGTATTTTGAAACTAAGTTATCCATAAAGATTATTTATAAAGGGTAAAATTATTATAACCAGATGCTATTTCTGTTTCCTTGTTTTGTTCATACACTTTAAGTAGATATATAATTGTCCTATGTACATGTAATTAAAGTGTTTTATAATAATTTCTTTTTGTTAATAATAACAGCATATTTGCTAAGTTTTCTTTTTTCACTATGTATTCCACCTTTAGTTATCATTATTTCTTTGTATCAGGAGATATGTTACAAAGTTGTGTAGATTTTACTGCTCTAAGCACCATTTAATATGTTAGTGGTGGAAGTAATTATATACATCTCATACTCCACAAAAACTCAACAAAAACACTCTGTGAATTTTATGGTTGTTGATTTACACAAAATTTATTTTTACACCATATTGTAATGGCAGAACATCAAATGTCAAACGCTACAAAATCTCCATGACTTATTTTGAAACAATAATATTTATTTAAAAGATTTTTTCATATTAATTTGATGTAAGCCTCTCTTATTTTACCTGCTTGTATTTTTGAAATGTGCAGCCCCTTGGGCAAACAGCTGATAATAAATACCTCAGATATTAAGGTCACTTATTTTAAAATCTGATTTTTGTCGTGTGACTCTTGAATATGCAATTCTCAAGTATGTATTTTCTACAATCTCTCCTCCATGCCTTTGAGTTGAAGGACAATCTTTCTAATGAATCAGCATCGAGCGCTTTACTATCTGTAAATTGTGATATACATAATTTAGTGGTGCATTAGTTACTGTAGAAGTTCGGGGTTTACGGATCGTGGATATAGCTCAGTGGTTTGAGCACCTGACTAGTAATGCAGGGGTCCAAGGTTTGAATCCCGGTCCAGCCATGTTTTCTTCATGTATTTCTCCTTTCTTACTACAGTTTCCTTGATTTTAGTAGACATGTATTAGAATGTTAGTACATTTAGTATCGTATCAATTTTGCTCAATACTGATTGTGATGACTGAGTACGAAACTTGAAATACTTGAACATGCTGTTCCAAATTTGAACAAACTATTTGATATTAATGTCGAAAATGCAAAGAGTGATTTATTTACTTGGTAGTGATTGAATTTTTCAGTTTTCTCCACTTGTTCACTATCCAAGTGTACTTTACGGTATTCTGTTAGACATTGCTTTTATGTACCATACTTTAAGTAGATTTCATACGATTTTTTCCCTTTGTTCAGTTTTACAAATCTGCTACCAATTAAAACTTTACAATTGCATGTTAAACCTTTTTACTGTGATATTTTGTTTGGCCTTTTTGGTTTATGCCATTAGTGTGGAACACAATGACAGGACCAATAATTTACATCTATTGATTATTGTTTATTTCTATGGCATTCAATTTTAATGCATTTTGTTTCATTTCCAAGCAGTTTTCTCTCTAATTTATTGGGTATTCTTCATAGACATATAGCATATTCTGATTTTTGACATGATGAAAATGCCTATGAAATCACCATACATTTTATTTTTTGTTTCCATTAACAATTTTTTTCATATAATTTTTATACTCTTGGAATTTTTTTTATTCCTATGTCTATTTTCTATATTGATGAACTGAATTCTGTCTCTCCTTATGGGGAATTGGACTGATTTTACAGAAAATCTTACTCTGTGAGTAATTGTTGCATGTTTACTTAAAGTAATTGTTCTGTTTGATTTTACCTTGGCCTTCATAGACAGAACTATTCTCCTATTTATATATTTATACTAATGTTATGAAATACTTTTCATAATTCTTTGTATACAGTGTAAAATGATGTAGTTAATAATAAACTTTATCAAAACTTATCAATCTATCGTTGTTCATGGATAAAAAAGAAAGAAGAAGGTATGGTTTGGGCTGTATTGTGCCTCAAAGAAGAAGTACGGTTTGGGCTGTATTGTGCCTTAAAAATTGTATGATCTAAAAATGATGAAATTGGCTTTATCACGAGTTCAGTTCAGTAGATAATAAATCATAAAAATTGGAGAAATTTTGTAAAATGTTCTGAAAATTCACTTATCTTAAAATATTTGTGGGTAATGCCTGCACTGTTTGTTTTCTAATAAAAATCCACTGAAAATTGATGTCCTCTGCAATTTAAAAAAAAAGTATAGTCTGCCATGACATCACAATTAGCATTTAGAAGGTCATATTGGAAAAAAGGACTGAATGGTATATGTTTTTACTGTAAGGAATTTTAGTTTGTTACATTAATTCTAAATTTTAGAAAAATACAGGGCCAGATTTGAAATCCTACTTTGTTCTTTAGCGTGGATATTTTTTTACCGTAATTTTAGCTCCTTACCAAGGCAATCCAAATGATCAGCAAAAAATTGAACACCATTTGTTGATTTACAAAGGAGGTTCAGAACTAAAATTCTTCACAATGTAAACAAGGTTCTTGTCTTGTTTTTGTTTACATATAGAAAATATATTTATAAGAAAATGAGATCCAACAAATCACCAGAAACTGTTTCATCGTATTTAGAATTTATTTCTTTATTTAAAAAATCTGCTTTGAACGAACATATACATGTATTAGTATATCTAACCTATGTATACAAAACATGGCACTTGCTCTGTTTAAATAACAGAGGGGCTCTTAATCTGTCTTGTATTTTTACATCTGAAATTCAAATTTTTGAATATCATTAGAAATACGTTAGTTTAAAATTTATAAACATAAAAATGGGAAAATAAATTTGAAAAATTCTAGCTGAAAGAAGGATATGGAAATAACGAACAGTATACAATCTCAAAGTCCATAAAACTATACAAAATAAGAGCAGAGTAAATACAGACCCCCCAAACCATCAGAGGTGGGATCAGGTGCCACGGAGGAGTAAGCATCCCCTGCCGACCGGTCACACCCGCAGTTTGCTCCTTGTCATGATCGGGAAATAACGGGAAAATCCGTCGTCAATTCAGTGTATAGATAATGGACTAACAATTGGTATGAAAAACGTCAGTCAGCATTTGACTCAATGATAAACTGTATTTGCTGACAAGGTCATTGTTTCAACCATAGAGCTCACGAAATGATGACTTTAAACAATACAGCTGATATTCTTGTTTCGTCAACTTGCTTGTCAATAATTTACCTCGTTTTAGAAACATTCATCCGTAGAGCATGCTCTTGCGTATCGAATCAACTGAGATATAAATACACATGTACTCCGTATGCAGGTGATGAAGATATATTGCTGCATACGTAAAGGAAGTTGGCGATAGAAAAGTCAAAGTCATCAAGTTTATCATATAGCTTGGTTGTTAGATTACCATTAGTGTATTTTTCAAGTAAAATATCCAAGTGAAACTGTTTCCATGACCCTTTATTCATGTTTTTTTTTCAGGCGGCTGGCCAATCTTTCACCTTGATTTTGTAAGCTGCTTGTTTTAACCATTTTAATGAAGTAACAGTTCATGCAGCATTTCATCTGTAAAATGTAGGTCTTTAAGCATTTATGACATGTATTTTTTTTGGTAGATTTATAAGATCTATTTCTGAGAATTTTTTTTTCTCCTTTTACGATTTTCAACATTTTGACAACAGTAGGCTACTTATCAAACGTAATCTTTTATGTATAAATTTTTATAAAAAAAGGAATAGCTTTGATATAGCTTTTACAACTCTTATTAGAACAGAAGGACATTTAGAACTGTAAAACATTACAGATTGCCTTACAATGGAATAACACACATTATCTCAGTATTATGCTTAAAAATATAGCAAATTTCAAATAGATATATGCATAAATAAACAAATTGTGATATATACATGATACATGTTATGTATTGTATCGCCCTACGGCGCACGGATGATAACCTCAAAGTGTCTAAAACAGCGTCACTTTTCATCTTCTCTAAAAATAAAGTTGAATTGAGTCCCTCTTAAGAATTTCATTGTGCACGTACTTGGGTCTCCATAAACAGTTGAGGAACTAATCTGACACACACATGATCTTCTCAAGATTTACTAGCAAGTTACAAACAAAATATCTCATTATCATTCAACTAAATAGACAATCTTATATCTACTGTCGATATAGTAACAGCGTCTTTTGTATTATACTACAATGTAGCAGTTTGTCCGTATGCGCGCATTGATGAAGTTTTCCGTCCAAATGTTTCTTTGATACATCGATCAAAGAAAAAAATATTACATTCATTTCTTAAGTCAAAGTTTTTTGTAATTCCAACATTACCATACCTGTAAAAAGCCTTTTAGATGTATCACTTTCACAAAATCTAACAGGTGTATCAAACAATTATCTATTGAATTGTTTTTCTAAAACCTGATCAGTATGAATAAAATAAGTTATTTTTGTTTAAGAAAAATCTAAAAATTGAACATGGACATATCTTTCCAAAATCTTTAACACTATATATAATATACTGACTGACCTATAATTTCTGAATTCAAGGAAATTTCCTTTTTTGAAGAGAGGTATGACCCTTGCCATTTTTAAATTTTCTGATAAATTTATTTACAATAGACATTAAAGGTTCAGAATCTTTAATATAAAAAGCACTATCTTTAAAAACCTTGCTGGTATATAATCCAGATCAGTACTTTTATTTGCATTCAAACTTGTCGTTTCGTTTATTTGTATATAAAATCTTCAGACGCAGGTTGACGAACAAAAGTTCTGACTTCTCCTTTTTTTATTTGCATAAAACTGTCTAAAACCTTTGATATTATAGAAAGCATATGCGAAGGACTAGGTTACATGTTTACAAGTTTTAATGCAATAATGATAAAGAAACAGTTAAAACAATCTGCTATGGTTTTACCTTCATCGTACCATCTATGTTTAAAACAATATTTTCACTACTTTTTTGTTTATATTAGTATTCTATGTTCTTGAGTTGTTGCCAAAACTTCTTGGGTTTTAACCTATTTTCCTCAATTTGTCTTGAAAATAATTAAGAAGATCAAGCTTTCCTTACTTCTCTCTGTGCTAGATTTCTCAATTTACATTATATGTTATTGCCTTTTTGACTTTTATGTTTTTTATGCAAATACAAAGGATTATTTCTATCTCTGATGAGACCAAAAATATATGATGTCATCCTGGGCTCTGTTCTTTTCGTAACAACAGGAGCTAAAGTATCTAAAATATTGTTAAAATATGTATAAAAAATAGACCAAGCTCTATTGACACACGATGAATTTATTCAATCACTCCTGTCTACACTTTATAAAAGAAACCAGCGAATCGATGAAATAATTCTCAAGCTCTTTTTTATGAATACTGAAAAGATAAGAATTGACATATATGTACATATTAGAGTTGTCATATCTTAAATAAACAGCTAGCTAAAAAAATCTTTGATAAAGCCAGTGATAGGAATGAAATACTTAAAAAATGTGGAATGACCATTATATTTTTGTTGGTCGCCTTTTAAAGGTACTTGGACACAGATTTGAAGTCATTATTTTCTCTATAATATTACGACTTATATATTTTAATAGCATTTCACACAAAAATTAATTAAAAATCTTATTTCGTTTAAAAGATATTGAAATTTCAAATTTTTCGGCGGGTTTGATTGACATATCGTTGCACTCTCACAAATTTAATTTCATTCTTAATCCTTAGGAAAAGTGGCAATCTCGTTTTGTATAAATGAAAAATATTAATACTATAATCCAGAAAATTCAGAGTTGACACGTTCAAAAGCAAAACAAACACACAATATATTGTCAGTCCGTGCAGTTGTGGTAAGCAGACTGTGACGATTGAACGCACCCGGTGAAATCTAAATATAAACAATAACAGAACTCGAGCCCTGTTTACAAAAACTGTGTACATAACACGAGTGTGCTCGATTTGCTAAACTCTGCACGCATCTCTTAGTTCGGAATGACGAAACTTGTGAAGGTGTTTTACTTTCTAACATTTCTACTCTGAATTAAATTATTTTTCTTGATACAAGTTTTAATATTTCTAATTAAAACACATCAAAATTGCCACTTTTCCTAAGAATTAAGAATAAAGTTAAAATTTGTGAAAGTGCAAGGATGTATCAATCAAACCCGCCAAAAAATTTAAAGTTTTCATAACTTTTAAACGAAATAAGATTTTTAAATATTTTTTGTGTGAAATGCTATTAAAATATATAATTTGTGATATTATACAGAAAAAATGAGAAAATATTAACTTCAAATCTGTGTCCAAGTACCTTTAATGAAAGCACATTTACTATTTGCACTTTTAGGTGTGTAATCTGGAGTTACTAATGACTTTCTATGATATACCCTTAAAAAAGAAACGCATAGTAGGAACATATCCTAAAAAATGTATTTATGGTTTTGTCATACAACTTTTTATATAGATGGATACGATATTTGAGTATTATGCGTTATTTCTTATGCAATTGTTAACTTTTAAGCTATTTTACAAATCTCAGAGACAAAAATGCCTGATTTTGCAAATTTCCCCCAAAACCTCTGATCTCAATTTTCATTTGTTGGTTTCTGATGCAATTGCATCAAGCACAAAGGGGCTATGGAAAGCATGAGTTCTCAATATTTTGTATTTGGTTTCATCTGAAAATTGACGCAAACTAAAAATATTGCATCTGAATGTTGCATATCACAAAAAGAAAAATTGGCGAGTGAAAGCAGGCGTAGCATAGTGTTCAATTGCACAGCATCATGTCTACAATGTTACTTATAAAAAGTATTCCATTGACATGGGAGAGTCAATGTTCACAAAAAATACAGCAGACCATGTGTGACATCAGCAGCACTGCATG